ACCCGATAGAACACCTTTGGGATGAATTAGAGCGGAGACTGCGAGCCAGGCCTTCTCATCCAACATCAGTCCCTGACCTCATAAATGCGCTTCTGGCAGAATGGTCAAACATTCCCATACACACACTCCTAAACTCTTCCCAGAAGAGTTGAAGCTGTTATAGTGGCAAAGGGTGGGCCAACTCAATATTGAACCCTACGGACTAAGACTGGGATGCCATTAAAGTTCATGTGCGTGTAAAGGCAGGTGTCCCAATACTTTTGGTAATATAGTGTATGAAGCGAAATTTGCCAGCACGGTCCGCTGTAAGCGACAGAGTCACTTGAAGGAAAGAAGACTATTGTGAGTGTCCCATTAACTGTTGATCCACATGCATTAAAACAATTATTGGGTGTAGAGTTTTACAACTGTGTCTTTGGCTCCCAGTCGGGATGTATAGAATGTTCATATAAATCCTGGTTCCATTGTAACAGTTTCCTGTTTAGAAGAGGGAATGAAAGGCTAGCCTGGCAGTATAAGTCTTTAGAAGAGCCAGGTCACTACACTAATAAAGTCCCGGGCTTCCAGTAATGAGATTACCACCACCATTTCCAGTATCCAGGTGCACCAACTGGTCATGTAATTAAGGGCGGCCATCTAATTGAGACTACATGTGTGCTGCTAATAACAGGCAGCGGAATAAAATGGAATCTAAAGGGGTTTTTGTAATATGTAGAACTGATCAGCGTAATATGAGTAAGGTTATTGTTACAAAAAGGTGTTACAGTCTAAGGAATTTTAAAACAGTTACAATTTCTTTCTTTCAGTGCAGGTCTATCGGTCTGCTCCCACCGAGTGCAACAACACTGGCTAGGTGGCTTATTCTGTGATTAAGGTTATCTGGGTACCAGGTAAGCAAGAATGCTGACTGAACTGTCTGGCATACAGGCGGACACACGGAGAATCAGATATATGTTTTTCTTACATATATCTGGCATGTATCTGACATGTAAGCAAAAACCTGCAACAGCAAGCAAATTATGTAAAAGTCACATCAAAATTACTTACAGGCAAACCTGACGTTAATAGCTTGCCTAAAATACACTGCAGTCTCTAAGGTCCTATCTTACACTGCTACAAGGTTTTAAAAAGGACTTTAATTACATGCCTTTTTCCCATTTGTATTGTTAAAAATAATTATTAGTTCAATGTGACCCTTTGATTTGCCGATGCAGGGTATAGGGACAGGTTCACTTTAAAGAGACCCTGTCACCAACCTAAACAGGGACAGGTAGAAGCACAGAAAAGTCAAGTGTTTTAGGCACTTACTTGCAGTGTTTTTTCTTTATATAAATTATTTTTGTATTCCCTTGCAATGTAACTTTCAACTTCCTGGAAAATTTTACTTTTTCAGGAAAAGTCAAATCCCTCACAACCCCCTCCTTCCTTGCACATCATAGCTCTCTCCTCTTCTGGAAATGTCTAATTACTGTTTTTGCAGGCCACCTCCTTCACCACTCCCTTCATCTCCCTATATCCAAAGGTGTGTGGGAGGAGATGGACCACGACCTTCCTCTAGTCAAACAGGAGCAATATCTGGGCAGCTCAGCAGCTCTTCACAAAACTGGGGGGGGGGATACCCAAAATGCAAAATCCACATGAATGAAGACTAAACAAGAGTGTCAAGTAATTATCTCAAGAGTAAAAATAAACCTTACTGGCTTCACAAATGGCGACAAGAAGATATACACATTTACTGCATTTCGGGGGTCAGGAATCCCCCTTTATCAGGGCTTAAACAATGGACAGCGGGACACGCATAGACTCTAAACTTACAGCTCCTGTGGACAATCCTACATCTCAGGCAGGAGTGGAAATCTATGGTGTGAAAAGATTTTTACCAGCAGGTCAACATTTGTACAAGTAAGCCTAATCTCACTGCATAACCTTTTATGTAGCTGCTGTGGAAGAAGCAAAGTTGAATACTATAGGATGTTATTAAAGTAACAGCTCTGAGTCTTCTGGGGCTGCTGACATCACATCTAAGATGAGGGCATGCCGCAGAAGTCTTGGTGCTTTTGGATGTCTACACAAGGAAGGTTTTAATGGTAAATAACAATAATAAAACTGCCATGGTAAATGCACATATAATCTTATGGGAAGATTGTTGTTGAAATGAACAGTCTGGTGACAGGGTCTCTTTAATGGTGGCCCAAACAGTAGCACATACTCACATTCTCTCCGTTACAGCACTGCTTAGGTAAGTCACAAGGAGCAAAGAAAAAATAAAAACAGGTACTTTTGGGAAGGGGAAGAATGTGACTATTCTCCATCCTCTTGCATGACAGCGCTGGTGCTTGGTGATTGGCTGCTCATTGCTTCCGCACTGGAGATTGTGACATCCTAATCCTTCTGACGAGATTGCAGGAAATGCTAAGTATCCCAAATCTCCGCACATGATGCACTAGAACAGTGCAGCAGGTTGTTCTTGTAAATTTGAGATCCCCATTATTCCCATGATCTCGCCAGCAGAATCTGGATGTTACCTTTACTTAGGAGCCACAGATGGAAGCCAAGGGTAAAGTAAGTTATATTTCATAACAATTTCCTCCTACAGGTACACGGGAGAAAGGAGGCCTGATATAATGGGTTTAGATGATAACAAGCCAAAGTGATAACAAGCAATTCAGAATGCCAGCTGTGCCCCTAATGACACACAACAAGTTTCCTACATATATGGCATGATTCTGGTAAAAGGTGGCTTGGCTCAGTTCCCTGGAGGTCCGGTGCATCTGCAAAATGAGATCTAGCTGTCAGCTTATAGCAGAACTGAAACCACAAGGAAGATTCAAAGTGCTTCCTTTAGATGTAAACATAGAAGAAGACAATAGCAAAATATTTTGTGGCTGGTAGTGCAAGAAAAAAAGAGATAATGCTTGTGAAAGCGATGCTAAAAACACTTTCATAACTGGGACTGATTTGATTAGTTGCTGTGGATAACAATTTAAAGCCCAACTCCAGGTTACACCCCAAGTTGGTTAAAAAGCTCCAGCAGCAATGCCCAGAAGTCTCAGGACAATACTGCAAATGCAGGTCTTTATGGACTTGCCCACCTGAGGGGGTGTCACCATCACCACGCTCTTTATTCAAAGTATATTAATACAGACAGCCAGACTTACATCATCATGTCAACACCATTATCTGCATAATGGAGGACTACCCACCTTCTGTAGAAAACTTGAGGAAGAGGACCCAGGAAAGCACGTGCCTTGTCGGAAGACTTTTTTGGGAAAAGATGGGTATATTAAAAGGAGAACTATGAGGTTCACTCACCTCATAGTTCTAGCCAACCTGTGACAATGAGACTGTCACAGGTCGGCTCAGTAGAGCGAGAAGTGAGCGAACACATACCACCGTTCACTCACCTCTCGATCCTGTCACAGCTCTCTGCCGTGACAGGGGAGGGGCTGAATTCCCCCCTCCCCGCTCCGATCCGCCACCGCTGACTGGCGGATCGGACGGCGGGTACAGCTGGCTCTGCCTCTAGATAGGCAGAGCCAGCTGTCACTCATGCAGCTGGGCGGATCCAGACATAATTGTCGGGATCCGCTTCAGCTGCGGCGTCTCAGTATACCGCGAGCAGTAGCTTGCGGTGTACTGTGGCGTCTCAGTATACTGATCTTAGGGTGATGGGAGGACGCTAGTTTGTGTCCTCCCGTTACTCTATGGAGAACTATGGCGAAAATCCTTAACACCATAGTTCTCCTGTAACAAAAAACTGGAGCAACTCCAGAAGGTGATAGTGGGGGACTGAGCACGTAATTGGGCTTCAAACGACCACTATCATGGAAAACTATTTCTTCTGCTACCTGTAGATGGATATTATATATAACATAATACATATTTAAAAGAGAACTGTAGACAAAACTTTTTTGGGGGGGGGATTAGTCCTCTTTTTGGTCAAAGGAGTAGATTTACTAATGTACTCCTGTGACCCAAAGTCAGCATTCTGCAGGCCACTGCCTGCTATATGCTGATAGCGCAGAGCCATGCTGACAGCTTACTTGGACTCTCTAAAGCCAGAGGCAACTGTGCCCACCCTCTTCCCTATCTGTCCTTCCAATGAGCGCTGGAGGAACAGAAAGGGGAGAATCCCTGCAGGGAGCCATGACTGACAGTCACCTCTCTATGCAGGGAGAAGCTGGGAACTGAGTGATCAGCGGTATGCGATCACTCAGTTCTCGATCTATAGATCTATATATCTATCAGCGTGTGACAGCAGAAGTGTGACATGCTGGCTCTAACTATTAGGAAGAGTACATTTTACTCTGCTTATATTTCTCCATTAACCCCTTCGTGACTGACGACGTACAGTGTACGTCGTCAGCATCGGGACTATTTAAACAGACTCCAGGCGACTTTTGCCGCCGGGACGCTGTTTAAACTTGTAGAGCCGACTGTCGGCTTTACAACAGAAGCGATTCTGGTGACTTACCTGTCGCCAGATCGCTTCTGTGTCCCGAAGGGTCTTGGCATTCAGAAAATATATAATGTGTGGGGGTTTTAAGTAATTTTCAGGCCTAAAATGTGGAATATAACATGGGTGCAAAAAATGAAAAAAAAAGGCCTCAGTCATGAAGGGGTTAATATATGAATTCCTATACAGTTTTCAATGATAGTCTATTGACACAGCGCCGTCCAGAGACTTGCTCTGAGACATACACGTAAAAACACAGGACAGGTACAACAGCGCGTATAGGTATTGGGCACATAATGAATTCCCCTGTGTATATGTCTATATATATCTATACAAAATATGAGCATTTTAAAATTGCATATCTATATCACCAATTAATATATATTTAAAATATTTATTTATTGTTGGTAAAACTTTATTTCCCATATTACTATGGCAATTACATATTACAAAGCACCTTTCACATTAGTCCCTAATTTAAATGACAGTCTCTATGAAAGTCATAGAAAACACACACTCTAGGGTCAGATGCCAAGTAACCTACCAGCATGTTTTTGGGTTGTGGAAACCAGAGTACCTGGAGGAAACCCACGGAAACACGGGGAGAACATGTGATAGCACATAAGGCCTGCTTAGTGTCCACCCTCAGTTCCACTGTTTTGTTCCCCTTCACGGCTGCTGTAAAAAAAATAAAAACAGACCAGCCTGCAGTTTACTTTATTGGAAACATTAGATCTGTCAATCAGGAAAAAATAGAACAGCTGAAATATGTAACTAATCAAAGGACAATGTTACGGTGTATATAAACTTAATGCAAGGTCACCTAAACAGGAAATACAAAAAATTAAAGCCTAAGTTTACTTTTTCTTTAATTTTTGCATTCAAGCCTGGAAAGCATTGCAACTGTGATCAGAGCTGCAACGCACAGGCTTCTGCACATTCTCTCCCAGGCAGAGCTCGTGCTGAGGTATGGGGTTACAGTTAAGAGAGATGGGGAAGGACAGCACATAATTGGGTGTTCAATGTGAACACAGGTTGACTTAGCTAAGTAAACAAGCATTGTCCTTCAGTAAAGCATTGTCCTTTAGTAAACCTGCTGCCAGTGTCTCCATACAGAGTATAAATCTCAGGGATCAGTATCTGGGTCTGCTTATTGTTGGAATAATTTTAATGTCTACAACATCACTTTGTTCAGTCAATTAATATGAATAATTTGAACAATTTATGGTGGATTCATCTTCTTCCGGATTGCTGGTGTGCGATTTATCCCACAGGAACAAAAATAAATAACTGTGGCTATATAATAACACATAGGGGTCTATTCACAAAGCTGCCAAGGGCAGCCGAGTGAATGACCGATCAGAAGTGAAGTGAGCCGAACACTGTTCGGCTATTCACTTCAGGCTGGTACGGCTGATTTCAGCCGTACATCGGCTTGCTTCGTGTGGCTTCGGATCAGCCGAACATGCTCAAGTGCAGAAGGAGTTCGACTCAGCCGATCCAACATCTGGATCGGCTGAGCCGAACCTCCGGCAGGCTTCACACTGCTGTTCGGGCTATTCTTGAAAGATCCCGAACAGCAGTGAAGAATAGCCGAATGCCGCCGAGCGGCATTTGGCTCGGCTGTTCTGCTCGGTCCCTCAGAGGCACCGAGCAGAACAGAAAAAGAGTGAAAAAAGTAGAAAAAAGTTAATAGAAAATGATTGTGCAGAGCTAGCAGTGACAGCTAGCTCCGCCCAATAGTTTCCTATTGTCCGGCGGCTCTGCTGCTGTAAAAAAAAAAAAATTAAAAAATTTAAAAAATCTCCCGGGCGCTCTGGGAGCCCCCCGCTCCCGGCCGCCAAGAAGAGAAACCCCGCTGTGTCTTTTTTTTCTTTATTCTGACACGAGCGATGTCAGAATAGAGAAAAAAAAAAAAGACGAATTCCCATTCAAAAGCATTGGGAGTTTACTATTGGCTATTTCAATTTGCAATAGCCAATAGTAAACTAGCATTGTACCCGCCCTCTGCTGATGGACCTGATGGGGAACTGCAAAAGAGGGCGGGTACAATGCTAGTTTACTATTGGCTATTGAAATTGAAATAGCCAATAGTAATGTCCCAATGCTTTTGAATGGGAATTTTTCTTTTTTTTTTTTTTCTCTATTCTGACATCGCTCCGTGTCAGAATAAAGAAAAAAGACACAGCGGGGTTTTTCTCCTTGGTGGCCGGGAGCAGGAGACTCCCGGGGTGCCAGGGAGAGTCAGCTATTTGGAGATCAGTGTCCCTGGTTAGCAACCAGGGACGCTGATCTCTCTGAAAGTGGCCGGAGCCAGCCGTAAGATCACGGCTGGCTCCGCCCAGCTGTCAGAAGCAGGCTGTCGGCCGGCCAATGGCCGGCCGCTCGGCCAGCTTCGGCTTTCAGCACGGCTCAGCGCTCGACTGAGCTGCTCGGCCGTGATCGGGAGCTGTACGGGCTATTGTGAATAGCCCGTACAGCACCCCCTCGGTTCTCCTGAACCGAAGGGGTCCTGGGGCCGAAGCTAGCCGAAGGATCGGCCGAAGCTACGGCCAGATCCTTCGGCAGCTTTGTGAATAGACCCCACAGCTAAAAACCACAGGAAATCAAAGTAATGGAAACCACTTGGCCTCGTGTTTAAGATGTGGATGAAAGGAAAATTGTGGCTTTGCCCCCAATCAGATTTCATCTGATATTCCCTAACATGCTCTAAATATATGTCAAGAGCAATATGATTGGTTGGTAAAAGCAAAACCTGAGCCGGGTTTGCTGCCAATGATTCAATAAAAGGTAACAGTGGCAGTGTTGCCTAAAACAACCATTAGCATTTTGCCAAAGCAAAAAATAGGTCATTTCCGCTATTACAATGATCAAAGTTCATCAACAATGTACCTATTGCTCCTAATATCTGATTTTATGTCTGGTGAGCACATTGGTCCTGGTTCATCAGCCTGCATTATCACTTAAGGCTTGCTAATTAGCACTTAAAGGAGAACTATGAGGTGAGTGCTTTTCACTCACCTCATAGTTCTAGCCGACCTGTGACAATGAGACTGTCACAGGTCGGCTCAGTAGATCGGGAAGTGAGCAAATACATACCGGCGTTCGCTCACTTCTCGATCCTGTCACGGCAGAGAGCCGTGACAGGGGAGGGACTGGGTTCCTCCCTCCCTGCTCCGATCCTCTTGATAGGCAGAGCCAGCTGTCACTCACACAGCTGGGCGGATCCAGACATAATTGTCGGTATCCATTTCAGCTGCGGCGTCTCAGTATACCGCGAGCAGCAGCTTTCGGTATACTGCGGCGTCTCAGTATACCGCGAGTTGTAGCTCAGGGTATACTGAGCTTAGGGTGATGGGAGGACGCTAGTTTGTGTCCTCCCGTTACACTAAGGAGAACTATGGGGAAAAGCCCTAACCCCATAGCTCTCCTTTAAGGCATGCTGAAATTGGATACATTGGTACTGGTTGACAGGCGACTTTATCATGCTTAGTCCTGCCCCTTGAATGTCCATTGGTTCTATTTTGTGCTTTCTTGTTCATAACAATAGCGATTTGATAAAATAGGGGGCATGAAGATTGATTAATTAAACCACAAAAAACATAAGAAACAACTTAGGGCTTTCGAGGTGCCAAGAACTGAATTACAGTATGTATCTAAAAATCAATTTGTTATTGATACAGATATACATTAAAATGTTTGTAAAAACAAAAATTGCCATGTGTCCATTTTGTTTGTTGCGATCAAACATACAATAATAACATACACAAATGTTGCAGTCAGACGACTTTTGAGCTCAAGAAGGAAATCAGAATAGATCCAGGGACCAAATGACTCGCAAGCTGATATTCTCCATGATATATCTGCCCATCTACAGCAAATACAAACATCTGCTTAGGACCTCTATTCTAAAAAGTTCAGAATCAGGTGAAAAGTTAGCTGGACTGCTTGGATTGCTTTTGTTCCCATTCATCATCAAGCTACAATAACGTACGATTTCTACCTACAATACCCAACTGTCTACTGAAAAGGTCAAGGAGATAGAGAGAGGGAAAACATGGCTCAGTAGTCCACTACCATCACAAACTTTGTTGCTTCAGAGTGCCCCCTGCATAATTAAATATAGAAAATGTTCCACCAGCTTACATTATCAGATTTCATTTAAGACATTAACTTCTCCAAAGGGTCTAATACAATACATACAGGCCTGTATGTACTGCAGCAGGCTGCCTGGTATCTGCCACTGTTTGCTGACACTAGTTAGTATATTCTTCCACAAGGTAGTTTCATACAGATAGCCCTGTAGTATTCCATCTACAGTGAGGTTGAGTACCACCTGTGGTACATAAGAGTTATTTTAGACACTGTTGTGTTAACAATTTGTATTAGTTTGCAACGCTACTGTGTCATGGTCTTTCTGTAAAGGATATACAACACTTTGGAGATATTCATTTGTCAGGACCTGGCTATGACTCTTGGCATCCCCACAGACCTAAGCACTATTTGGTCAATGGTTTGCACAAAATCCCATGCTCTCTTCAGCATTCATGTGTATCTGTAAATGGCACCTTTTCAGACTGGGCTAGTGTAATTAGCGGTGTGCCTCAGGGTTCTGTGCTGGGTCCCATATTGTTCAACTTATTTATTAATGACATCGGGGAGGGTGTTAACAGCGATATTTCAGCGATTGCGGATGACACCAAAATAGGGAGGGTAATAGACACGGACTTAGACACTATAACATTACAGGAGGACCTGGATAAAATAGGGGAGTGGGCATTAATGTGGCAGATGAGGTTTAATGTTGATAAATGCAAAGTAATGCACTTTGGAATTAAAAATAAACAAATGGGTTATACAATTATGGGTATGCCGCTAGGGAAGTCAGAAATGGAGAAGGATTTGGGGGTCATTGTAGACCACAAACTGAAAGGTAGTTTGCAGTGCCAGGCTGCTGTAAACAAAGCTAGCAGGGTTTTGTCCTGTATTAAAAAGGGGATGTATTGCAGGGACAAGTCTATAATTTTGCCACTTTATAGATCATTGGTTCGACCTCATCTGGAGTACGCGGTCCAGTTCTGGTCACCAGTACTAAGAAAAGATGTCCTTGAGTTGGAAAAAGTCCAGCGAAGGGCAACCAAACTAATTAGGGGTATGGAGGACCAGAGCTACGAGACGAGGCTACTAAATTTAAACATGTTCACATTGGAGGTGAGGAGATTAAGGGGGGATATGATCTCCATGTACAAAATGTTCAATGGTGGTAGCAACATTAGCGATGAACTGTTTACAATTGACTCCATTACAAAAACTAGAGGCCACCATCTAAAATTGGTGGAAAAGAAATTCCAGCACAAGGGGCGAAGGGGGTTCTTCACAGTAAGATCAGTTAGGGTCTGGAATTTCAGCAAATAATGTGGAATTGTTCAAGAAACTTTTGGACGATTTCTTAAGGAACCGTAATATACAGGGGTACAGGTACTCCTAGAATGAGATCCTAATAGGTTGGACTTGATGGACTAATGTCTTTATTCAACCTAATAAATACCAAATACTATGTAACTATGTAACTATGTAACTATGTGTTCTGTCATATACAGGGCCCATCTGTCCTCTTCCTATTTGTCAATCTTCAGTATAGGGCCCTCATCTCCTAAGCACCCTAGTCCCTTACCATT